AGGGGGAAGGGTATGGGGCAAGGAAATAAGGGAAAAGAAAAAATACAAGAAAATGAAAAAATGGAAATAAAGAGCTTGTTAATAGGGAGGGGAGGAGGGGGTGAAGGGAGGGCAGGGACAAGGAGAAAAAATGAGAACCAAGACCTGTCATGTGAAGGTACAGGATCCCAGTAATGAATGTAACTGTATTGTAGGCCTAGATTATACCAATAAACTCAATAAAAAAGAAAAAAAAAGAAATTTGGAGAGCAAGTAGAGAAAATTGAGTGTGACCCGCATTTTGGATATTACTAAATTATTAATGGGGGTGATAATGGCATTGTTATGAAGGGGAGTGATTTTATTCTTAGATACATGAAGTATTCAGGGGTGAAATCATGTCTGCAACTTACTTTCAAAAACACAGACACCACACCTGCAAAAGGCTATCAGTGAAACTCAGCGAAGCATATGCTCACATACACTGCAATTGTTTAACTTCCCTGTAGGTCTCTACATTTTCAAGATAAAAGGTAGATTATTCTCTTTTAAAATTTTTATTAATAAAATGTGAGAATCGGAAGGATCTTAAGGATCATCTAAGTCAAACGCCCACTTCACAACTGGGGAAACTGAGGTGCAGGAATAAGGAAGAATGGTATCAGAAGGCATACAAGGGAACCGAGAAAACATGAACTGTTCGCTGTTCTCCTGTTGCTGTTGCTGTACCCCTTGAGGGATACAGGCAGGGGAAAAGGGGCTAGAGAAGACTTTGGGAGTAAGAATGCTCTGAAGTTATGGTGGGAAGGAGACACCACTCAGCAGTGCCGTTGTGTCTTAGCCACAGCCCAGACAGAAGATTCTGACCTGAGACATGAGCAGGCCCAACAGACTCAAGATGCCACCCAGTTTAACTCCTTTTCTCCCCCCTCTTAATTTCTCTTCCTTATTTTCTTTCTCTAACTTCATCCGCTACCTTTTAAATTTTTTTATTTTACTGTCACTTAGTATTACTCCACCAAAAACCTGAAATCATGGAAATATGAATTTTGGGAACGACAATGTGATTTTCAATCCTGCCCAACTACTTGGAATGTCACTAAGCCTCACAAAGTTTTGGTTTCCACATCTTTAAAAAATGTACCAATAAACTCAATTAAAGCTGAAAAAAAAAAGTGACCACTTCCTACTTTAAAAATATATGCATTCAATGAGCCAATGTAATCATAAGTAATGTATTCATTGAAAAGGAAAATATGGAAACAAAGTGTTTGTAAATAGGGGAGGGGGAGAAGGGAGGGCAGGGGAATGGAGAAAAAATGAGATCCAAGATCTGTCATGTAAAGGTACAAGATCCCAATGATGAATGTAACTGTACTGTATACCTAAAAAGTACCAATCAACTCAATTAGAAAATAGTAATAATGTATTCATTATCTTTTACCAAAAGCCACAAAGAGTTGTGAGCACTGCAGTGAAACAAAGTGTTCAGAATTCGCTGATTTGACTTCAATCACCATCTTCACTTCACAAATGAGGAAACTGAGGCACAGAGGGGTCTCGCTCACAAAGCTAGTAAATGTAGGCCTCTTCCAAGACCAAACTTTATACTCCATGCCAAACACAGAGGTAAACAAAGTCCAGCCTTTCTTGGAATTTTCATTCCAGAGGAAAGTGCAATCTGGAAAACTGTGGGCAGTTTATAGTAAGATAAATATTAATTCCTATTTCAATCCCATAGCAAAAAGGAGAATCACATAAAGATGAAGAATCAATCTGGCTACTATCCTCTTTCAATTCCTTTCCTTATTAACATTTTTAAGTGTCTATTAATGTTCCCTGGTTAACTCCTAAATAAAGAACACTCATAGCAGGGAGCACTTGGGTTTTGGGTTTTGGCTTTTTTGTGCGAAAGTGGGATCAAATCTGGGGTCCTGCACATGCTAGGCAAGTACTCTACCAGAACTGTAGCCCTAGCCAGGGAACACTTGTTCTGTAACAGACATGGTCACAATCTCCAGGTCTTTCTCCTACTTGGGCCTCTGAACCACCTGGCCATGCCCAGCATTCCTGATTCAGAAAGTCAGAGGATTTGCATCTCCAACAAGTTCCCTGGTGATGCTGATGCAGCAGGACACTGCACATGAAAAACCACTGTCAGAACAACTCCAAAGGCAGCTGTGTTCCTACTTCAAACAAGAAGCTGACCCTCAAGAAGGCTGAGTGCTGCAGCACCCTCGAATGACAGAAGCAGGACTGAACCTAGCTGTTTTGACACCAAAGCCTGTGCCATTTCTTCAACATCTGAGTCAGAGATGTAACATTCTGGGCTTTCCCTATCATGCGTCCATTTCTTTTCAATTTTTTGTTCTTTAAAATGACAGTCACGACTGTTTGTATTTTCATCCCCAAGAATAGAAGACGGTTTCTAAAAGCTGTTTTGAAAGTTCCTGTCCAGGCCGGGTGCGGTGGTGCACGCCTGTAATCCCAGCACTCGGGAGGCTGAGGCAGGAGGATCGCTGTGAGTTTGAGACTAGCTTGGGCTACATAGTGAGTTCCAGGTCAGTATCACTACATAGTGAGACCCTGTCTCAAAAAACCAAAAAAAAAAAAAAGTTCCTGTCCATATGCCCAGTGATTCCTCCTCTAGACAACTGTTACCACGAGTGTGGCGGCCCAGGTGTCACAACACAAAAGTACCTGAGTTGGGGAGTGAGGATTGAGAAAGGACAGCACACTCAATAGTGTGGAGACAAGAGGTCCCATTTATTTCACAGAAACAGCTCCTTTTAAAGGCAGGCCAACAGGAAGCACCAAGCAACTATTAGGGAGGAGATCAGATCTTTGGCTATCTGAGTTCCTCCCATCACAAGGTCAAACTTAACAAAGTCCTTGAGCCAGGCGTGGTGGTGCACCCCTGTAATCCCATAAAACCAGCCTGGATTACACAGTGAGTTCCAGGTCAATTTCACCTGCATAGCTGAGACCCTTGTCTCAGAAATGCCAAATAAACAAACAGAGTCATAGATTAAGAAGTTACTTTTCCAATGTCAAATGCCGGCGGGCTCCCACACGCGAGAATGATTCAGAACATGGCCCAAAACACAAAGATGTTAAGTACTTCAGCAAAACACTAGCAATCAAAATGTCCAAAGGGACTGGATAAATTACCGTACACCCAAATGATGGAATATCACGAAGCCATTAAAAATTAGTCAAAGTATCTATCACATACAGCCATATTTCAGTACTCCTGGGCTTCAAACCCAGTACTGTCACATTTTAATGAGAAAAATTGTTTCAGCCCTCAGCACTTGTGTCAGTCTCAGTATTTCTTGAATAGTGCGGAAAACACCACACTCTTGTCGATACTGTCTTGTACTTCTGTGCATTTTAAGTGCAAATCATGGGCTCCAAAAAGGTTAAGAGTGATACCACTAAACCTAAAAGACTTAAACCCAGTAAAACATGAAAGTCCTGGGAAACTTTCATGAATTATTTCTAATTACATTATTTCTCATAGGAAAATTTCATTTCAGGACTCCTCAATTTGAGGTAAGACTAATACTCAGTAAGGCAGAGCACAAAACTAAACTCAGTAACCTCTCAAATTATTAAAAATACTGAAAGGTTACAATGTTGACAAGAGTAGTCTCTGTTTCTAACAATTTCCTATACCGCCCGTGCTTTCTTCAGTGAGCTTCCTTAATGAGAACCGTGCCCTTTCCTCTTGTTGATCAAACACAACACATCATTTCAAGACTCTTCTACAAGAGTCAATTCCTGAATACCAAAGAAAACAAAACTGTGAATTTTAGAGCTAATTTTTTTTGGACGGGTACCAGAGATCAACCTCAGGGTCTTGTGCTTTTGAGGCAGGCACGGTGCCACTGAGCTAAATCCCCAGCTCAAAGCTAATATTTAATTCCATGCTGTATTTTCCCTGATAATAGGCTGTACATTGTAAGAAACTAAAGGAAAAAACTCAAATGACAACCATTATTATAAATATATATATTTTTAAAAAGCTAGAGAGATACCTACAAAAGTGTAACAAGGACTTATTTTGGTTAGTGAAACAGCTTTTTAAATCTTTTTCCTTAACAATTTTTATTTCATGCTCCACAGTGAATGTCTATTATTTTTGTAATAAAAAAATATTTGCTATCTCAGAGACAATCATCAAGCAAATTACAGTATAGCTATTCAATGGGATCTCAACAGCTATTTGAAAAGTTACAGAATATTTAACAATATGAAAAAAATACAGTTATCTGACCATACTATAAAACAGTATGCTCAGAATGATCCCACTGCTGTGTTTAAAAACAAGCAACTGACTATGTATACACAGAAAACACCTTCGTAGGAAATATACTAAAACATTAGTATTTTACTCTGAGTGACAGGATTACAGATTATTCTAATTTTTTATTTTGGCTTCTTCATTTTGGTCAGTTTTCTTCTATACAGTATGACTCATTTTTCCAGTATGACAAAAAGAAATTTTTTTAAAAATCTAGATTAAACACTACATTACCTTGTTAAATAACAGACAGAGACTAGCAACAGCTCCTTACTAAAAGATCCTCCTTTAACAAGCTTGCCAGCTCCAGCCCAGATCCAATGTCGGTAAAACATTGGCCCTACAGAGCATCACAACAGCAGTCAGCATACATCCTTCCTCTCCATCCAGGCTTCGCAGTGCCGGAGCAAGCCACCCACTCCAGCACAAGAGGTCACCCTTCTTGACAAGGTGAGCACACATTTCAGGAACTTTTTTTTTTTTTTTTTTTTTTTTT